GGAAACCGACCCCCCTCCTCCTGGGGGCCTCCCAGAACACTCGCTCTAGTTGCTTCACTGAATTTCACTCTCCAAACAGTTCCATCTGTGTGTCACTATGAACCTCAAAGTATTGTGTCCAAAGTGGGGCTCAGTGCCTTCCCCATGACGCTGTCCACCACAATCTGGGCTGGTGTTTCCATCTTCCATGTGCCCCGTACCCCTCTCCTGCCCTGGCCCCCATCAGTCCCCTTGCCCTGCTGCTTTTAACTCCTGAATATTCCTTGTTCTGACTGCTCTGCAGGCCCCTTTATCCCGCCTGGGCCCAGCAGTAAGTTCCTCCATGTTTCCACACCCTGGCTGTCCATCTACCTCAACTCCGTCTCCAAACAGGTCACCAGGTCGGTTGAAAATGCAATTTGACCAAGTCACTTTCCCCTTAAAAACCTTCCATGAGCCCCCTGCCTTTCAGTGGGACTGCCCCAAGTGGGTTCTGTGGGATGGCAGCAGGGTGCGCCACAGACAGACTCGCTGGCTCAGGCAGTGTCGTCACCAGTGCCCCTCTCCAAGGTTCCGACCCACATCAGCACCCTAAGGGTGGCCGCATGATCCCCTGAGGGCTAGTGTTGGGAGCTCTGACACGCCCACCTGTCTCCAGCCCCCAGGACATGTTCTTCAAACTCACAGGACATCCAGGCCCGAGTCACTCTGTTATCTCCTCGCCTAAGCCTGGCCTAAGCCTTGTCCAGTCTGTACTGCCTCCCTCTTCTGCCCAGGCCCCTGGCCCTTCACCTCAGCCCTTCTGCACCCCCATTCTTGGCTCCCCTCTGTCCTGCTCTCCCCTGTTTCTGCACCCACCAGCTTGTCCCCAGGCGTTGGAGTCGGGGAGGGCAGAAAAGCGCGTCCCACCATGACAGCTGGAGCAGCCTGTGTGCTGGCTTCAGGGAGCCCTGCTTGGGGTCCTCCTCACCATGTGCAGCCTGCACGCCTGCCTGTTTCCAGAAGGGGCTCTACTGCGGCTGTGCCAAGCCCCCTTGTGGCCTTCCTCTCATTCCTTGCAGGAGACCCATCTCTTACTTGGCCAGGAGCACCCCACCTCCTGCCTCCCTGGCCCGGGGCAGACAACCCCCTGCACTCTGGGTGGCATCCTCTCCACCCTCACCTCTGCACCAGTTTCTCTGCGTCTTCTACCTTTCCTTTCTTCGCTGCTGTCAGCCTATCCGTATCAAACCTCTTCCATCAAAGAAGCAAACAAGATGCCCAATAGCCCTATTGATGCCACCTCCTCTCACAACTTCCAATTTCTGTCTCCCTGCCCCTGTGCAGCCACGCTTTTTGAAGAAGAGTCTACATTCTCTGCTTCCAGTTTAATTCTTTCCATTCCAAACTCAACCTGCGGCAGCCTGCTTCCAGACCCCACCACCTCCTGAACCTGCTCTGGCCACAGTCCCCAGACAGTCTTGCTTCTCCCTCCAGGAAACATGGGTGCCCTCCACCCACCCATGAATGTCTCCAGAGCAGTTACCACTGCTGGCCCCGCCCCTTTGTGAAATGCTGTGCCCCCGGCTGGCAGGACTTCACCCTCTGCTCTTCCTTCCTCCTGCTTCCTTGGAGTTTCCCTACTCCACATGCCCACCGAGCCCTGAGGTTCTCCAAGCTCCGCCTCGGCCTCTACTCTTCTCTGTGTCCCACCCCTGGTCATCTCATTCACACTTGTGTCTCCCACCACTCCCTGCACACATGTGTCCTCCAAGCCCACCGTCTTCAGCTGAGACCTCCCTCCTGAACCCAAGGACACACTGCCCACTGTCCACTGGGTACTGGATGCTCAGACAACTCAACCCACATCCCAAACAAATTCATGTGTTCCACAGAGCAGCAAATGAAACCACCCAGTGTATGACCCAGAAACTTAGGAGTCACCCGGGCCTCTTGTGCCTACATCCCTGTCCCCTGCCAGGGACAGCCAGTCACATAATAATGTAGGGCCAGCCTGGCTGTACAAGGACAATCATCTGGAAAGCTTGCCAGACACAATTCCCTGGGTCCTACTCCTGACTTACTGAATCTAAATGCTCAGGGGCAGGGCCTGGGAATCTGAATTTCTAGAAAGGTTCCCCCACGTCTCTGTGACACCTGGCTCAAATCACAGGCTGAGCATTCAGGACCACTGTTCTCTGAGCCACCCCCCTCCATCCATGGGCAGCAGCCCAGCAGTTCACCTCACAGGGCCACAGCCTCCTTCTGTGCCTATGACATCTGCCCCCGAGCCTGGCTCATCCCCCATGGTGAAGCAGCGGCAGCTTCGCTGAAAGGGCAGGAGGACCCTGGCTCTCTTCTGCTTAAAAACTTCCCACAAACCTACCCAGGAACATGGTTTCGTGCCCTCTGCACTTTGTGAGATGACCTCTGCTCGCCTCCTAAGCTGCCTCCTGCCTCATCCTCTTGAGACTGTGCACTCTCACCACAGTGAATATGGGAGGCTCTCCCACAGCCCTGCTTGTATAGCCCCCATCTTCACACGAATTCTTCTCTCTGTTTATATCCCTCACTTCTTCCCTCCTCTGGGTTGACTCACTGGTACTGCCTCTCGGGCCCCAGGAGCCCACACAATGATCACTGATCTCGCAGGGTTCTCCCCTAGTCAGGCAGTGGACCCTCAGGCTAGGACCTGGGTGTTGACTGGTCACTGTCCCCAGAGCTGAACCCAGGTCCCAGCTGAGAGAGGTGGGTGGTAAGAGTGAGTGAATGGAAGGGTAAGTAAGGAGAATGAGGGAGACAGGGAGGCTCAAAGGCTTTGGGGTCATTTTGCAGGTGTGTTCTGAGGCCCTGGCCAAAAACTGGGTCTACCCAGCAGGGGCCCTGCTCTGGATGCCAATGCTGGATATCCACAGAAATGCCATCATGGTGGCGTTTCTGCTGCTTTGGGCTCTGGGTTCCCCTGGTAGCCAGGCCAGCGATGAGAGCCTGCCCTCCCTGCTCCATGTGCCCCCTGCTGAGGTGTGAGGCCTCCGAGAAGTCCTAGCCCCTCCTGCTTGCCCGGCCACCTCTGACCTGCAGTCACAAAGACAGGGGGCTTGCAAGGACGCCAGGGCTGCCCCACACTCTGATGCTGAACTGGCTGTACCCTCTCTGTTCCCTGGCCCTGCTCCCACCCTCGCTCTGTGCCTGGACAACGAGCCACTCTCCTGTCTCAGCAACCCGAACTCAAAGGTAAACTCCTTGGCCTGGACCCTCCTGCCCCACCCTCCCTTTTCCTTTACCATCACTTCCTCCCCTCTTTGCCCACCCAGTGCCTTCGCTGTGGAACCTGCATCGCCTTTAGCCCTCTGGCTGTTCTTACTGGTTTTCCCTGCGGTCCTGACTCCCAGCTTTTCTACCCCCCAGCCTCCTTTCCAGCCCTTCCCCAGCCCTGGTCTAAGAGGGCAGAAGCCTTGCTTGGGAAGAGCATTGGATGGGAGCTGAGCTTTGCATTAGCCGGATGCACCCCAGTTTTGCTCCCTCATTGTAGAGACACCAGACCTTCTGTGAACACGGTTAGATTCGGTGGCAGCTTACCCTCCGCCTCCTGGACTCAGTATCAGCTATATGATTTTCAGGTCCCAGTGCAAATGAAAATGCAGGATCCCTTGTTCAAAAATTATTAAGAATTTCAAGATGGGAACAGACGAGCTACCACCAGGCCCTTCTCAGCACATGGTCCTGTGTGACTGTACAAGGCCTCACCTCCATAAAGCTGGCCCTGCCCATCCCCCTTTCCAACAGGTGATGGCCCCTCTCCTGTCCTCAGCTGCTTTCTAAAACAGCTCCTCAGGGCCTCAGGGCAGGACCCCAGCCCTGTTCCTCTGGCACTCAGCACAGATTCCTGCGGTCCCCGTGGGAATCTTCACCCCACACTACCATCTGGGCAATAGCGCACTCATATCCTTCTCAAGTCAATGCTCGTTTATTGAGCCCCACCTGGCTGAGCCTGAGGAAGGGACAAGTTGGTAGACACTCACTGCTGCCCTCTAGGAGTTCAGTTTATAGCAGGATTAAGACAGGAACAGGATCCAACTTAAGAAAAATAACTACATTCAGTTAGGAAACTGAGTATCACAAGAGAGATGGCATAAAGATGGACCGATGAATGGGAACAATGTTAGTGACCTGAGCAGGAAAGGGTATTCCAGGGAGAGGGCACAGCCTGCGTAAAGGTTTAGTGGTGGGAAGATGCACGGATGGTTCTAGAATCCTAACTTGTGCAGGTTGGCTGAGGCAGTCGGATGGCGGAATAGTGAAAAGAGACTAGAAGGAAAACGGGGTGTGCTGTGGAGAGCTCCAAGGGCCGCGGTGGAGACACCGAGGACCTTCGGGTGTGGGGCACAGTGAGAGCCAAGGGAGGAAGCGGAGACGGCCGTCGTCAGCCCTCCAGGCCCCGCAGATGCAAAGCCACACTGTTCTGCAAACCGCCGCCGGCAGGGTCCTGGAGCTCATCAGCCCACGCGTCCCGACTCGCCTTCTGTGCTGCACCCCCAGCCAACGCGATGCGTGCGGACTGCCTCTTGCCAGGGAGTGGGCCTCCCCCGGCCCCAGAGTCCTGTGGCAGCGCACGTGCGGCGGGCCGCGCAACAGGGTCCGGGCCTGGGGTCCAGCGGGGGTTTGGAGACCACTATTTTAACTCTGTATTATGGATATTCTCAAACATATACGAAAATAGAGAGAATGGCATCACAATTCCCCCAAGTGCCACCGCATGGCGTCAACAAACCTCTTGCCCAACCTTGTTTCATCTAACCCTCTCCCACGACCCGCTCTGAAGAAGGATGTGGTGTGTGCGACCTGGGGGCAGCAAGGCGCTCCACACCCAGCTGCAGGAGGGCGGGCACCGGGCGGGCAGCGCTGGAGCTCGGAGCGCGGGGGGCATCCCGCCCCGGGAGCGGGGCTCCGCCGCAGGGGCGGGGCGGGGCCGGGGGCGGGGCCGGGGAGCTCGCGGGCTGCTCCGGGAGCGGCGGGCGCGCAGCGGCAGTCCCCTCGCCCCGCAGCCGTGAGCGCGCTCGCCTGCCCGCCGCCCGCCCGCCGCCGCCGCCGCCGCCGCCGCCATGCCCAACTTCGCCGGCACCTGGAAGATGCGCAGCAGCGAGAACTTCGACGAGCTGCTCAAGGCGCTGGGTAAGCGGGGCGGCCGACGCGCGCCGACGCGGAGAACGGCTCGGAGGTGTCCCGGCCCCGCGGGGGGTGGGCTTTCGGGGCGACCGGTCGGGGCGAGTTCCGAGGCTCACCCATCCTGGATGGGCCGGCAGAGCCGGGGACCCGCGCGCTCAGCGAGCGTTTGCTGGGGGCACGGCGCTTTCCCGAACGGTTCGGCCTCTATCTGGTGCTCGGTCATCGCAAGGGGAGATGATTGCTGCAGTCCGAGGAGGGTGACGGGCATTAAATCGGGGGGCTCAAGACCGTCCCCTGCCACGAGTTCGCTGTGCGACTCAGGAAAAGCCACTTACCCTCGCTGAACCTCAGTTTCTCATCTCGAAAATCAGGGAGAGGGCGCGGGTGGGGGCCAGTTTTAAGCCCGCATCTGTAGTGGGAGGGTTTGGGACGTGCAAGGCCAGTCCGGGGAGGCCCGGTGACCCGAGCGCGGCGCGCGCGTCCCCGGCGCAGGTGTGAACGCCATGCTGAGGAAGGTGGCTGTGGCTGCTGCGTCCAAGCCGCACGTGGAGATCCGCCAGGACGGGGATCAGTTCTACATCAAGACGTCCACCACGGTGCGCACCACCGAGATCAACTTCAAGGTCGGAGAAGGCTTTGAGGAGGAGACTGTGGACGGACGCAAGTGTCGGGTGAGGTCCTGGAGCCCTGGCAGCGTTCCCGATCCCGATCCCTACCTGCGGGCCGCCGTGGCCAGGCCAGCCCGGCTCCCTCTGCAGCCCGTGGCTCGCTCTCCTCGCAGGGCGTGTGTGCACTGGCTTTTTGCAGAGAGGATTTGTGCGACCGGACGCCCTACCCGTGTCCCTTCCCAGGCTTTCCTACCCGTGTCCTCTCCCAGTTCATACTTAAGCCGCCTCCCGAGGTGCTTGCAGCCCCGCCCTTCGCGGAGGGCCACAGTGCACAGGCAGGAATGGGGGCCGCAGGAGCCGAGGGCGAGGGCGCAGGGACGAAGGTGGAGGGACCAGGGGCCACGGTCCGGCGGCTCCGCGGTTTCTGCTGCAGTTGGTCCCAAATCCCAGTCCCTGGGCACCCCGGGAAAGCTCCTGATGGCCCGCACCCCTTTCTCCCGCCCGCAGCCTGGTTCCTTAAAGGAACGGCTGACTCTTCCCCAGAGTAAGGCTGATTCTGGCTGGGAAGGGACTCTGAGTGCACGCTCCTGAGTCCTGCAAAGCAGAAGTTTTGCATTTCTTTTCATATCGGCCCCACGGGTGAACGGAAGGCTGGAAGCAAGCGTTGTACAGTCCTTTTTAAGATGGGCGGCAATTGCATTGGGTTGATCTCTGGAATACAATGGAGGTCGGTCACTCTGTTTTGGCGACAGATGGAAAAATAATTGCTGCTGTCGCTTACTTAAAAAGTGACCAAATGTCTCCCTCCATATCTCTAATGTTTAAAAAAATTATAACATTCCAGGAAGTAAGGAAGTGTTTTTCACCTTTCCGAGCGGTGCATGTCTGATCTCCAGAGGGAGACTCTGGACACTGGTTTTGGGAGGACACAGCCGCCCAGAAAGATGTGTGCCGATCTGCACAGCAATATTTGGCTCCCAGAGTTGGCACAATGATGTCCAAGCTTGGAGCTGGCAGGGTCTGAGTCTCCAAGTCACCACCGTGTGTAAAAATGAAGGAGCATGTCAGTGTAGTAGAGTGAAGGGCTGGTCATTGAAGGGAGGAAGCCTGGCAATGGGCAGGGCTCATTCTGGGGACACCCAATAGGGGCTACTGCCAGAGACACTAGTTCTGATCAAAATCAAAGGTTTACACGACAGCCTGGAAGGTGGGGCTTTATCCCCACGTGCGCACGTTCAGTCCTCCCCCACCCCAACTCCGCATAGAGTCCTTTGCCTTGTGAGCCACTGGGAGCCTGCCAGGAATTCCTCCTTTCACCTCCACTTCCTACAGCCGGAAGACCCTTCAGATGGTGGTTGTGGTTGTGTGTTTTTTTTCTTCTTTTGGTATCATTAATGTACAGTCACATGAGCAACATTGTGGTTACTAGATTCCCCCCATTTGTGGTTGTGTTTTAATCTTTCTAGAGGGATGTAACCTTGAAAGTGGCAGTGTTTCCACCCTCAGAGCCAGAGATATCTAGGTTTATCTGTGTGCTGCGTCCAACAGAAAGAAAGGCGTTATCCCAAAATCTGTGCTGGAACAGATCTCCCGATCTGCTGACGGCCTGACGGCAGATGTGGTTCCAAATATGATGTCTTAACCATTCAAAAATTTTGTCACTGTGATGTGAACATTCTTGCCTTTAATATCCAGACTGCTTGAAGGGGTAGTCTGTTTTGAGATAAACAAATCATTGCATGCTCTGATTTTATTCCTGGAGACGTAAAGAATGTGTAAAGATTTGCTGTGTTGGTAAATGTGTGTGTGTGTAAAATACAAAGTATATTTGTATGAAGTACATGATCAGCCCTCTGAATTTGGACTTTATAAGGTGTCGCAGAGAAGGGTCTGCACCCTGCTGACAGGGACCATGTGTTGCTTCTCCGCACAGTAATTATTCTCCGGTGCTCATTGTTGTCTCTGCTCCCGCTTCAAAGACTGTCATTAATGCCACTAATGGTTTTCTTGCCTGCAGAGTTTAGCCACTTGGGAGAATGAGAACAAGATTCATTGCACACAAACTCTCCTGGAGGGGGATGGCCCCAAAACGTACTGGACACGTGAGCTGGCCAATGACGAGCTCATCCTGGTGAGGCCCTTTGACGCTGAAACAAGCCCTCAGTTCCCCAGATGATGTCCTTGGTGGGCCACACAACCGCTGTCCTCACTTACCCATTCAGAGAGAGACACTGTTTGCCCTGGGTTAAAATGTAATCAGAAAGCCCGAGATGACAGTTCCAGCCAGAGGAGAGCTTTGTTAAATTGTTGGCAGGAGAGAGGAGTGGCTCAGAGCAGGGGCTAGAGGCAGGCTGCAGTGCAGTCATTCAAACTGATAGATCCCAGTGATGGCTTGGTGACTCGCTCTGGGCCAGCCTCCCCTCTGGCCAGGCTCAGAATGCCTGGGTTCTGTGAGGGTCCAGGGTTGTTCACTCTGCAGAAGGGATTTTTTTCCCTTACATTTCCCATTTTGCTGCCTGGGAAAGATTTCAGAAATTTCAGCATGTCAGTGCATGGAGCTGTAGAGAACATTTTTACCCCTGGACTTACAAACTCCAGGGGCCTTTGGGAACCAGGCAAGGAATGCTAATCAGGGAGGTGTCCGAGTGTAACCCTATGTGGAGGGTGGGCCTTTAGGACTGGAGAGGGCAGGCTCTACTTTAAAGGCATTCAGATTAAGACATTTTAAACGTCCTTGGCAACACAAAATTTAACTGGTGAGGCCAAGTTAGAAACCGCTGTAGTTTCATTACACACCTCCTCCCTTATTCAGGTATAGGGCAGAGGAGGCCTGGGAGGGCAGGACAACCTCACACCCCTCTTCCTTTGTGTTTCAGACCAAGCTTTTCTTGCAAAAACCATTCTCCCCTGGACTAGAAAAGGGAAATGCTGCTGTGGGTAACCAGAAAATGGTACCCTTTGTTCCCTATCAGGCAGTTGCTGCCATCTCCCCAGAGACTGCCTGCTTGCCCCACCTTACTGAATGTCACCGTGAAATGTCGGGAGAGCCGATGGTGAGGTGTGCCAGGACAGGACTCTACGGGACCTGGGGGGGCCCTCCGGGGCCCTCCCTCCTGAGCTATGAGACGAGCTGTTGGGCTAAAGGCTGAGATTCCTCTTAGCCCTGAAATGGCATGTTTATTCTGTGAGAAAACCCTAAACTGAGCTGTCTGTGTTACTGTAACTCAGGCTGCTCGGTGTCCCTCCTCTTGTCCTTCCCTGCAGTGATTTCACGTGCTTTCTCCTTTCATAGAGAAAGGACTGGCTTCCTTTTCAACCTGGATAATGCGTCCAGGGAAGGAACACTTGATAAGGCTGGGAGAGAAGTTTGAGGCCGGGACATGGAAATTTAGGAGAAAAGGGCACATATATTCCCCCAGCACCAGAGTTAACGGAGAGGACTTCAGAGTTCTTGAGCATAGCGGAGGGTTCAGTGGGCTTGTTGTACTCTGTGAGAGGTATGATTTTATTAACCTCTATAGTAACCGAGCAACCAGGACATATTCTGCTCCAAGGAGTTCATCCCTTCCAAATCCCCTGCCTGGACATCCTTCCCTGGCCCAACCAATGTACATACAAACTTAAAGGGGAGCATTAACTCTTGGCATTTGAGATCTGAAATGTGGGCTTTTGTTTCAAGGACTATTATCATTAATAAGTCTAAAACTTGGGGAGATGATTTCTCCTCATAACAAGAGGCAAATTATTCTAGGTAGGTTGAAATAAGTTCTCCCAGTGCCAACAGTAACTTGTCCCAGGGGCTGTAAGCTGCGTGTTTTGAACACTGAGTACCCTTCTTCAAATCACTATGGAACATTCTACAGAGTTTCTCCCAGGAACCTCACAGCATACCTGCAGGCTGAGAAGGGCATTTCAACTGTGGTTGGACATGTGGTGATTTCGTTTTGTTTCATGAAGTGATTTGTTGGCCTGGGTCAACTGTGTCAGATGGCTAGAGTAGGTACAGCCCAAGTAAGAAGGGAGATTCCCAAACTTTGGCATTCCATCCGACATGACACTCCATGGCCGTGGAGCTCAGAGTTCTGGAAAACTGACATGGTTCTGAGAGGTCTGGACATCTGAGTGGTGCATTTGCTGCCCTCCTTTTCCCAGCACCCAGAAGTTGTCTGCATTCCCCACCGGGAGTGGGAGAGATTAGGACCCAGAAAGTGTCCAGAGCAGCTACAGCTGTGTGGGTGTGATCAGGGGTTCCCCACTTACAAAGAAGCTGGTGATGAGCATTTGCTTCCTAAATAATCACTAATGACTCATTTCCCTGAGCACACATGTTGGAATAATGTCCTAGCACACGTTCTCTGAGAAGCATCTTGTGATCAGCTGATGGATGCAGGGGCCAGATCCTAAAGATCCAAGTACATCCAAGCTCTTACCCAGGCTTTTTGACCTCTATGGAGTTTCAGGCCCCTCTGAGAATTCGAGGAGAGGGACACTCCTGCAGAAATAGGCACATCTGTAAACATACCCACATGAGGTCTATCGACTGGAGAATTTTGTTTTTAGGGTTTTTTAAAAATACATGTATTGCTTTTCCCTGTTTCAACTGCCTGTAAGTGGCTCAGGAGAGCACGCTGTGATGAATTGCTAATTTTTAGAAGAGTTAAGACAGCTTACCTATGAGCGTTATCATTTCAGGGCCCAGAAGAAAAAAGTTATCCTCCATCTGTGGGATGATTTGTGCATCCCCACAGCAAACAGACAAACAGCAAGCCATAGAATTTTAGCTGGAAAAGGCCTTTGGGACCCTCTTGTTCAATTCCACCCCACTCCAAACCCTCCCCCCGGAGGTGTCTGGCTCACCCAGCTGTGAGCTGCAGAGCTCGCTCTGGATGCTCACGCTGTGCTTCCACGGCTCAGACTGACTGCTTGCAGATGACTTGAGTATTAGTGATGAAACATCTCAGGCTGTCTCCCAGGTTGGCCAGCTGCTTCCCGGAAGGTACTTCTACCACTCCCCAAAGCTATCCCATCTGGCTGGTCAGCGCTGGACCCTGTGGCTCCAGGTGCCCCAGCCCCTTGCTTTCTTGAAGTCATTTGAAAGAGATAGAACCACTTCAGAAATGCCCAATATGACATTCTGCCCCTTTCAGTTTAATTTTTAAAACCAAAGCCAGGAAACTTGTATGAAGCTGGTGATGAGCATTTGCTTCCTAAATAATCACTAATGACTCATTTCCCTGAGCACACATGTTGGAATAATGTCCTAGCACACGTTCTCTGAGAAGCATCTTGTGATCAGCTGATGGATGCAGGGGCCAGATCCTAAAGATCCAAGTACATCCAAGCTCTTACCCAGGCTTTTTGACCTCTATGGAGTTTCAGGCCCCTCTGAGAATTCGAGGAGAGGGACACTCCTGCAGAAATAGGCACATCTGTAAACATACCCACATGAGGTCTATCGACTGGAGAATTTTGTTTTTAGGGTTTTTTAAAAATACATGTATTGCTTTTCCCTGTTTCAACTGCCTGTAAGTGGCTCAGGAGAGCACGCTGTGATGAATTGCTAATTTTTAGAAGAGTTAAGACAGCTTACCTATGAGCGTTATCATTTCAGGGCCCAGAAGAAAAAAGTTATCCTCCATCTGTGGGATGATTTGTGCATCCCCACAGCAAACAGACAAACAGCAAGCCATAGAATTTTAGCTGGAAAAGGCCTTTGGGACCCTCTTGTTCAATTCCACCCCACTCCAAACCCTCCCCCCGGAGGTGTCTGGCTCACCCAGCTGTGAGCTGCAGAGCTCGCTCTGGATGCTCACGCTGTGCTTCCACGGCTCAGACTGACTGCTTGCAGATGACTTGAGTATTAGTGATGAAACATCTCAGGCTGTCTCCCAGGTTGGCCAGCTGCTTCCCGGAAGGTACTTCTACCACTCCCCAAAGCTATCCCATCTGGCTGGTCAGCGCTGGACCCTGTGGCTCCAGGTGCCCCAGCCCCTTGCTTTCTTGAAGTCATTTGAAAGAGATAGAACCACTTCAGAAATGCCCAATATGACATTCTGCCCCTTTCAGTTTAATTTTTAAAACCAAAGCCAGGAAACTTGTATTTCTTACGTCAGCATTCACAGGTTCCAGAAGAACTAATTGCATATAACTCTATACCCAAGTTGCCTCTCTGCCAATATGGAGCTTAAGGAGGTTGGGGTTGGGGGGGCCCTAACAGTAAACATGAGCACAGGGCACAGGAAATTGAATGTTCCAAAGAGTTTTAACAGGGCAGTAGGTGGTCTTATTAGTGATATGCTTTAAGAAGTTTTGCACAGGCATCTGTAGTGATCGGTTTTCCTTCTCCTCTACAGACATTTGGTGCTGATGATGTGGTGTGCACGAGAATTTATGTCCGGGAGTGAAGGCAGCCAGCTTGCTCCTGCTTTGGGGGTGGGATGCATGTTCCCCCAAGGAATGTTGCAGGTCTGAGCTGCCAGTGGATCCTCCTCTTCCCCATATCAACATTAGGTGATCTCGTTTTCCCCATGACAGTGTTAGAGTGTCTCCCCCAAGGCCTTGTGCCTCCTCGTCCCTGGTTCCATAGTTTAGCATCTGCATTGTTTCATCAGGTATTAAACTGGTTGGACACATCTCAAGGCTCTTCCCTTCCTTGAACTGCCTCTTCGGCTTCAACATGGAATTACTGTTTCCCTGTGGCCCCCAGCACACCCTGGTCTGCCCATGTGCCATGCTTGGAGCAGACATCAGGGGTTGCAAGGTGGACTCCCTCCAACTGGATCCAGACTGTAGATCCAGGTGTGTTTGGCCTGAGTGTTGGTTTTCAATTGAATTAGTTGGTATATGGGTGGTTCCCAGCAGGAAAGGGAGGGCACATTCAGAAGGGTTAATTGAGGACAGCTCCTAATGAAAGGGCAATTTACATGAGCATTTACATAGGCAGGATGAAGAGAACAAAGTATAGTGAGGTACCCAGAGACTAGCAATAGGGGAGTCATTGCTCCCCTAGACAGGAAGGGATGGAGAGCTCACCAGACCACAAGAGCCATAGCCTGGGAGAGAGACCACCAAGACAGGTCACTTGTGTCTCAGCAGGATGTTCTGGAATGTCTCTGAGTGGCAGGCACACCGTAGGAGCTGTGGCAGCACACAGAAGAAAATAGCCACTGCCAAGACCAGTAAATGTGGGTAGGTGGGTTGGGGGCGGTCTCTTTGGCGTGGCTTGGAACTAGGCAGTTGAGTATCCTGATTTCCCACCTTCCAATCTCTGATCTACCTATTCTGCCCATTGGCCAAACCCAAGTAGAATCTAGAGGACTGGGGTGGGTGGGAGTTGCTGTTCACAAGTTACCTTCCCAGTACACAGCCAGGTGGAGAATGAATCCAAACATGTATATGGACAATAATCCACAGTTGCCAACTTTAACTTTTGAAAATCAGGAGATTTGACATAAAAATCTGGATTCCTATTTCCTTAATAGAAAAGTTGGGAAAATATGGCATCCCTGGACCTACATTCCCACAGGGTAACAACTGGCAGCTTCCCCCTGTCCAAATGGAGCCCTCTGCCTCCCTAGGACCTCACCATTGTTCTCGCCTGGCTTCTTGGGCTTCTCTCCTTGCTACACTAGGTACATGGGCCCTTGACAAAACCGGGCCAGAATTAGCTGACCAACAGTGTTGGGTAGAGATGAGACCCAAAGAAGGTGACCTTCAAAGAGCTCACACTCTGATGGGGTGGACATCGAAGGTCCAGGCACCACTATCTGAATGTAAATGAGGACATGTTTACTTAAATCCTCACACCCTCTGCAGCCCAGAGCCCCACTTTGCTCATGGGGGACCTTGGCCCCCTTGCAAACACTCCTGTCTGGAACTCTGTGGGGAGGTTGAATCTGCTGAATACTGACTCTGGAGCCCAGCTCACATCCTGCAGCCTGCTTATGGGGCTGTGGACTGTCTTGGCTGTGATGCCCTCCACAAAAGTGCCAATGGCTCTGCCAATAGCTCTTCTTCCCACAGTTCCAAAAGCCACCAGGCCTTGACTTATCAGAGCATGGCTGGATTCTGGGTTAGAATCAGGAGGAAGCCTGACACTCTCTACTGTCCCCAGGGCCCTGAGCTACCTCTGCTTATGTCTAGAACCTCTCAAAGCCCTCATGAAAACAGCTTCTTCAACTTCTGGCTCTACCCCAGTGCTGCTAGTAACAGAGGTTGCAGATACCATGCCATCCCTTCCATTCTGCTTGTTTCTCCTCTTTGGAATGAGGTCCTCGTTGAAGGGAGGATGCAAGAGGACCTTCTCCTTTCCTGACTCTTTCACTTGCTAGAAACAGCCAAGTCCACAACTCTGTAATCTACACAACACAGAACTTCATGTGCAGAAAGAGAATGCTGGAGAAGGTGCCTGATGGCTTCGTGGATGAAGGGTCTGGAGTGAGGCCTCAAAGGATGGGGAGGACCTGGGTTGGTATGTGGTGGGGAGGAAGGCAGTATAGACGACTAACCTAAGTGTGAATGTGCTAGATTTGAGGGAAGTGAGGGGACCAAGCTGGCCACACAAGAGAAAGTATGAAAGGCAGGTCGCACCAAATGAATGAAGGCTGGGATGTCTGGGCTCTACCCATGGGTACTGGCCCTCATTGCCACTGTGAACGGACTGAACAAGACCTCATACCTACTTTCTACCTCTTGCTGCTGCCTCATCTTCAAATCTAGATTGGCTGCGTAAAGGACATCATCCTGCCTTATAGTGGAGGTCCAGGGTCCTTGCTGAAGGGAAGACACAAGAGGACCTTCCCCTTTCCTGACTCTGAATCGTGCTACTTCCATCGTGTTCTGGATCACACGTGGCATGTTATAAGAGACACATGCATTCCCTTCGGATTAGCCTTCACAGGAGATGAATAGTCAGGCAGGCTGATGAAGTTACCAGCTGTAACCTTCACCCAGCTGGACAACATGGGGTGATGAGATGTGGGGATCGCACAAGTGGTTCACTTAGACTTAGAATGTGAGCGGCAGCCGGTTTCTATTGAACCCTGTTCCTTCCTCATTATCTAGAAAAAAAGGCACAGTGTTTCTCATTCCCTCATGGAACACCTCTCCTGGGGCATTAGTGTTCCACGGACCCAATCTGGGAATTTCTGCTCCTCTGTCTTACAGTCTTTGTGTATTATACATAATTGCATATGATACAGACACATTGCATATGACACACAATGTACACACATGTAGGATGGAAACTTACACACAATATGACTGTCATCAGAATAACCTTAATAAAACTCTGCCCTAAACTTGTCACTCATTCACTCAGAGGCCCCAGGGTCCACAGCAGGAAGGTCACTCAAAGCCTCCATCACTTGGCTTCACTGGGCCTATTCCACTTAGACGTTCTCGTCGCGGGTTCTGGTCATGTGGCCGCTCTGGACCAATCACAACCCAGAGGAAAGGGCGCCATGATTGGCCAGCCGAATCACCTGACTTCATCCACGGCGCCTACCCGGCGGCTGTACTGACCCGCGAGGCCGCGGGGCCCCGGCCGCTCCCGATGCGACAGCATCGGAGCCACCTGGCCGGGCTGTGCGCAGAGTGAGTTAAGGTGTGTGAAGCGAGAGCTTCCGGGGTCCCTGCATAGACCTTCCCTCCACGTCCGGACCCGGGCCTGTGCCTCGGGTCCCACACCGCTGGCCGTACAGCCTTCTTTGTGCGTGCTGGGCTCCTGCCCTGGTCCTGTGCTGTCATTCCACTATTCCCAGGCTTCTGCCATGTTCTGCCAGCCAGCCTGTGCCTGGCGAAGGGAGGGCCCTCTACACAGGTGCTGATTACCTGACCGAGCGACAGCCCGTGTCCTCCGGGAGATCTGCGCCTCCTGAACGGATGTCCGCAAGGAAAGGTAGGCCTTGGGGAGCATGCAGCATTATCCAGTGCAAGCACCACACAGCAGCAAGAATAGCCCCAGATGGCATAGCATACACGTGTGCGTGTTAGACTCCAGGCGGGTGGCCAGAGATTCCACACCTCTCACGAGAAGGACGGTGTGGAAGCTGAAAACTTACCAGAGGCTTTCCCCATCCCCACCCCCTGCCCACCTCGGACAGGGCAGGTGGGGAATGGGAGTGCTTGTCCTCCCAGCCTGCTCTGTAACTAGAGTTCACACGCTACCCTGTTCTGGCCGGTGAGACTTAAGTGGAGGTTTGTAAGGAGCTTCTGGGGAAGACCTTTTCTTCCTGATAGAGAAGGAAGACTGCTAAGCTAACATCTACTTACTACCTCTGAATTTGGTGTGTGATTATGATGCCTGGAGCTGGTGCAGCCATCTTATATCCAGAGGAAAAAGTCCAGGAGAATCTCAGAGAAGCTAGCCCAGAGTCACTGAAATAATGCAGCTCTTCCCTCTCTTTGGATGTATTTTTTGAAATAGTTTTAAAAAGAAGAAAGCCCCTGTGTAAACCAGTTATTCAGTGACTTCCATACTTGCAACTGATACACTGAGGTGGAAAGAAGGACAGAGGCCTATCTGGCTTGCAGATTTCTAGGAAGCCTTGTCTTGATGACTACCAGTACTACAGAACTAGACAATACCATCTTGCTCAAAGGAAAAAATTATGTTAAAATATTTTATGGAAGCCGCGTAACATTTCTCAAATCCTTCTTACCTCAGCCTCTTCTCATCACCATGGCGGCCAACATTTCCATGTAAACAGCAAGGATATCATCAGAGAAAATGTGGGGCAGCAAGCCTGCAAATGCAGCCTTCACACCACCACCCCAACCTCACCCTTCCTTCCTGAGGCATCTGTCCTCTACTCCAGGGATCTTCCCTCCTTCTTGGCACTTTTATGTAACTGCCCATTAGTATCGGGAAAGTCTTTAGATCTTGTAAAAAATATCCCTTACATCAATATGTGTCCCTCCACTCCCACATCCTTTCCAATGTCCAGCAAACACTGCTGTAAGATAAGAAATGCATTATGCTATTAGGTGAAAAATTATTCTCCACAAAGTCTGCAGAGAGCCAGTTAAATGCAGGTCAGAGTGGATTTGAAGTCACCTTTGACTGTAAACCCTCAAATTGAGTGCACAGTTGTGCTTATCCCAACCATTGGAGTCCCTCCACTTTTAAGTATTACCAATGTGAAGAGATGAACTCGGGAAATAATTTATTTACCCAGAGTGATTGTTTCAGTTGTCTATCAAATAGGGGGACTTCCTTCTCTGGATGGAGCTGTCTTGTTTTTAAAGTCTTTATTATAGAAAATTTCAAGCATACACAAAATTAGAATTGTGTAATGACTCCCATGTTAACCCCCCACAACCCAGCTTCAATAACCACTGTGGCCAATCTTGTTTCATCTACTCTTTCCACTCTTGGATTATTTTGAAACAAATCCTAGACATTTTGAGATTTCACCTATTTGTATATCAGTGTATGTCTCTGAAAGTTAATAATTACCTTAAAAATAACTATAATATCATTTTCACACCTTAAAAATTGAAAATAATTCCTAATATCACCAAATATCCTATCAGTGTTCAAATTTTCCTGATTGTCCCATAACTGTTTTTGCCTGATTATTAAATCAGGATTGAAATGACCAACTTTGTGATTTGTTGATTTGTCTTTAAATCTCTTAAAAATCTGTAAGTTCTCTACCTCATTTTATTTGCTATAGTGTGTTTGTTGGAGAAACCAGTTGTTTGTCCTGTAAAGTTTCCTACACAGGATTTTGATGATTAAATTTCTATGGTGTTGTTCAACATGTTCTTTGTCTCTTGTATTGTAAGTTGTTAGAGCTGGAAGTTTGGTCAGATTCAAGATTGATATTTTTGGTAAGAATATGGGAAGGGTGGCTTGCCGTGCTTGTCTTCAAGGGTTCCTTAGGGGACTCTGGTCGCCTCTCTTTCTGTGGTGCTGGCACCCCATGATGACCATTGCATAGATCCATGGTTTTGCTAGAGGTTGAAATACCAGGATATTCTCATTCTATGATTCCATCTCTGTTTATGAGCAGGGATACTTCAATGAAAGGGTACTTGCTGGCCTCCACTATGAGGTTACCCTGAGGTACAGTTTGTATAGCAAAGGCAGAATAAATATTTGCTTCTTACCCTGTATTCACTAGCTTTCTAAGTAATTGGTTTTCCCGGCATTCTTCAAAGGTGACAAACGCATTTTAGTGGGATCTTTTTTTTTCCTTTTGTGACTATCACCAGGAATTTGTACATCGAAACATATTTGGTGCATCTCAAGTCATTGCAATCATTATTTTTATAGATGCTAAAAGTGGGCCATCTTTGGTCAGTGGGAGCCTCTTCAAATAGACTCATGAGTCTTCCAGTAGGACTCTAGTCATCTTTGATCACCTCCTTGCCGTTCTATATGACAAGATGCTCCAGGCTCATTTTGTATGTTTCCTACTCCAGACCTGGAGTCAGTCATTTTTCCAAGGAGCCCAATTCTTTTAGGAGGCAGTGGTATTTAGAAACCACAGTCTAAGGTCCGTAAGAGGGGTCTACTTTTGATTCTAAGATAGAAGCCAGAGTTCTAGGACTCAAGAGGCATGTCACAGACAAAAGAGTTACTCTGTCGTCCTTTGTCCCCATTATCTTTTGCCCAAGATGAGGCTAAACAACATTCAAGTATTACCTACATGGTGGTCAGTTGTTTGGGAATGACACCTTTTCCTGTTTGGTCAGAAACCTGAGCAGTTTCTGACTAGCCCCTGAGTGATGGGGTAGATATGAATGCAGTAAATTTGAAACATTTATCTTCAACTCAGCACCAGTTGTAAGGGCACTGCTTTAGAGATGAGGGGCATGATGGACAATTGTCACTTGCAGTCACACTGCTTACCTCCTGGGTAATGTGTCATTCTTTACGTGGAGTATTAAGCACGATTTCAGGGCAAAGAGCAGATTCTCACAAGGATTCTGCAAACGTTGTATTTGTTACAATTGAGTAACATCTTTCTGGGAGAGTTACCTACAGGACTTGGAGAAATTTCCTTTATAAACAAACAGATGACAGTCACAATTTTAACATTCCATTTGTTTCCACAGAAGAGGAAATCTCATTAGTTATGGTGAATGAAAGAGGCAGATTTGGGGTCTCTAAAGTGGAATTTGACCAAGGTCTCTCAGAATGCAAGGTCTCTTGTACTCACAGGAAGTGGGATTTTGAGATTCTAGCATTAAAAAAAAATGTTGGCTTCAGAAAAAGTATATATGAAAAATTTATTGATTCATGAACTCTTACAAAGAACATGAGGAAAAGTGAAAACTGAGAACATTTGGGGAAGAATCCAATTCTTAGAAATACATGAAATAAAATTAATATTGAGTTTTTTCTCTTCCCACCAGGAATATGTTCAAGAAAATATAATTAAGTTCCCTTTGACTACTTAAAACAAATCGATGTAGGGGTATAGTTCAATGCAAAGAGCACATAGGAGACCCATGTGTAAGACCCAAGTTGTAAGCTATGGTTCTGTCCCTACCTTGTCCTGTGACCCTGGCCTGCTTGCATCCGTTTTGGGTCTCCAGCTGATCATCTGTGCAAAGAAGACATTGCCAAATGTGTACAGAGGCTGGACTGGCCGTGTATGAGTCACTGGGGAGACTCCAAAATGTCTACCTACGGGGAATGGTTAAGTCAGCCACGATAAGCCACATCATGGAGTTTTTGTAGCTGTCAGAGTGAGGTAAACATAGGTGTACTGATGTGGAAAGGTATCCACGATGTATTAAGTTTTAAAAATGTGTGATCTTGTTTAATGGGAAAAATAAAAACTGTATGGTTAGCTCTTCCCAGGAAAACATGAAGCCCTAGAGGACACACACCAGACTGTTAGTAGTGTCCTTGGAGGACTAGCTGTGTTCACTCTCATTATTTCTGCACCATTGGAATTCACTTAGAATGAGATGTATTGTGAAATTTAAACACATTTTCACTTAAAAAGTAAGAGATTCTGATTCTCTACATTTGGGTTAGAGCCCAGGAATTTGAATTTTTGTGAACCGTGTCTTTCCCAAGTGATTTTGAATAGAACAACTGAACCAATGTTCACAAAGATATCTTCCAGCTCTAACACCCTATGATCCCACAAAGTTTGCTTGACTCATGACTCTGGGAAGAGGAGGAGAAAGACCAAACAAGGAGACAGTGGGAGGGCAGAAGGGAGTGCACGGTACTGGAGCATAAGAAGGTGGGCCGAGGTGTGCGGCTCAGCAGTTCTCAGCCTGCCCACACACACGTGTCCCGTGGGAGATGCACAGCAGTCTTGGGGCACAGGCAGGTGTTCTCCATGTCCCCATTGTACCAATGGGGACACTGAGGTTCAGAGAAGTGAAGTTCTTGGAGTAAGTTTGTAAATGGCAGAGCTGGGATTACAACCCCAGGCTGTGTGACCCCACAGCGAGTGCTTTTCCACCACATCTGCCATTTGGGACATGAAATGTGTTCCTTACTATGATCCCCAGGGATTATGCTTATGGTTAAACGGTATCAGGTAGCTTTCCATGGCGAAGGAGGGAGGGAGAAAGCCTAACAATACTGACATTTAATAAGGGCTCACTGTACTCCAGGTCCTGGCTGAGCACTTTTCACACAAGATCACTTCTAACCCTACAGAGAGCCAGCCAAGCAGGTACCGTGTTTGTCCTCATTTTGCAGGTGATAGAACTGAGGCTCAGAGGGATTAAATAACTTCACCCAAAATGAGTGAAGTTGGTAGTGAGATTGAACCCAGGTCTTCTATTTTAAGAAAAGCAGACAAGGAGAAAGGAAGTGGGAATAAAATGACAGAGAAGTGGGTGTGTCCCACTGGTCTCCAAGAGGCTCCTGTTTCTTGGGGCTGTCACCACCCCACACAGCTAGGGATCCTGGGGGCCTTT